AAGAGTTGTTGAGGTTTGTTGAAGAAATAAAGGCACCTAAGGGGACGGCTGATCAGCACATTCCTCCCAGATACCCAGATCATAATCTCAGCCTTTAAAAAAAGCTTTTTTGAATTCTTGTTTCCTAGTTTATCTCTCATTAGTCTCTGCAAACAGAGACCTTTTTACTCACTTTATCCTGCTGCCTTCTCTGAAAGGCAGCAGGAACAGAGGGACAGAGCCCTCAGGCCACCAAAATCCATGGGCTCATCACATCAGGTGGGTCATGAAAGCTCAGTTTGTTTCACTTCTGCTGGAGAAACTCACTGAACTATGTTCTGGATTTGCTAATTAGAGCCAGACCTTCAACAGTTTGCAAGGGAATTCCTCTTACCCTACCCCAGGCACCCCTCGCTCACCTCTCGTCTCCAGACACCGCCAGGGAGTTCAGGGGGACCTGCTCCTTGGGGCATGGTTTTGCAGGATGCCAGCCTGCGTCGAACTTGCTTCACGGTTTTGCTAAGCTGCCATTAAGAGGGAAGGTAAAGACAAGAGAAAAGAAGCGGTCACTCACTGCTTTCCGTGAAATTTAGCTGCACAGAAGAGATCTCCTAACATACCCTGCTCCAACCAAGCTGCTTTATCAAGGGAGTGCAGCTCGACACACAATTAGCTTCATAAATAGGTATAAGGTGACCTGCAACCCCAAGGTGTCTTTCAGAGCTGCCCCAATTCACTGAAATCACGATCCAGGCAAGGTAAAGGGCTTGGCTACAGCTCATCTGCTCCCAAAATCACTTTGCTGAGATGCCAGAAGTCCCTGTTCCCCAATTGTCCTGCCTGGTGTCCAGCCAGAAGTGATTCTCCACCCCGAAAGAAGAGCTGCTTCACCTGGAATAACTCCAGCTCCTAAGCGAACACATGTGCTTTATAAAATACCAAATGCAGCATAAGCATCGCTATTAAAAAAAAAAAAAAAAAGCTTAAAACAGTCTGTAAGGCAGGTTTTCCCAAGCTTTCACCATCCCGTTCTCTCGGTCTGCAGGAAATAAGCTGCAATGAGGTGGCACCATCTAGTGCCACCTCTCCGACACGACTGCACAGCAACAAGTCCCTGTGCGTGGAGGGAAAAATTCACTCTTATCTACAAGCAGCAGGGCCAAGTTCAACCACAGCATCCTCCAAGAAGACATCTACGATCTGTTTTGACGCTCTGATAAGAGCTATGGAGGAGTATGACAATATTTAATAAATCGGAGTGAAAATGTAAGGCAATGTTTCATTTGGTACCAAAAAAAAAAAAAGAGGGATGTGTTGTAAAAGCAGATAGAAAGACAAATATTGCCTGTCCTCCATTTCAAACCATGAGCAACCAGCAGGGATGAAAAATGCAGGAGAGGGAACTGCTCACCTTGGCAGCTTGCTGCTGGAGCGGCTCGCTTTGCATCCCTTGCCGTTGTGCTGGGACAGCACGAGCACCAGGACTGCAGATGGCGGGCGCCGGGTGGCTCCGAAAGAGGCACGTGTTCTTTCTGGGGTTCAAGCCCAGCACGGAGTCTGAGTACCGCATGGCGACGCAGCTCTCCCTCTCTGCCTGCCAGGACATAGACCCCAGAGTTAAAAAAACCCCACGTGCAAGTCTCTAACCATCACCTAGCAGGACATCACACGTGCTGCGCAGGAGTCGGTGGCTCGATTTGGTGGCATTTCTTGGGATGGACATTTTTGTTCTCCAGGTTGAGAGGGCCACAAAGAGCCAGCAGGCTCGCAGGAGCTGAAGGCATCTGCGTGTTTTTCGGTTTGGAGCGGTGCTAGCGGGGTTACGTGAGGACATCCCCACTCAACCGTGCTGCCTCTCGAGCCCTGGAAACAGCCCAAACACCCCAGAGGTGGCCAAAACCGTTGACATTTCACTGTGTTCCCTTCTTGCTCCACAGCCAGCTTCTGGCAAGTCTCCCTGGCAGTTGTTTAGAAGTAGAAAAGATTAAATCTATTCACAGGATAACCTAAAAGAAGCCCACGAGGGAAAATGGGAAAGTGGAGACAGCGTGCAAGTGTTGCTTGTGAACTATTTGACCGCCCTGGAGAAGGGATAGCAGAAAAACTCCTTCGCTTCAAATGTGACCAAATGAGACACCCACATCATTCACAACTCCGGCCTGGCTATTTTTTAACTCCGTGCAATTCTGTACGGGGCGCTGGGACTCTGTTCTGCTGCTGCCCAAGAGAGGCAGCGACCTTTCTACGGGGAGGCAAAGGGCTTAAAGCACCTTCAGCACCAGGGCAAGTCAAGGTGTCACGCTGACCTTGCTTGAGGGGACACCGTTTGTGGCCAACGGGGTCTGCTGTGACCACGAGTTTCCTCATTTTTTTTTTTTCCTTATTAACACCTTGACTTGAGGCCTAGTGGGTTGTTTTTTTTCTGATTTACACCGGTTTCAGAGGAGTTTCTCCTGCAAGACTCCTGGCAAGGCAGGGACAGAGATCTTCTTACCGCTTCGTAGGACTTCTGCAGCTGCTGCTTTCTTCGCATCCTGACCTGCTGGTTCACCCGCTGCTTCACCTCTCCCTGGAAGCGTTTCAGGCTGGCTGCTTTCTCCCGTTGCTGCTCCTTCAACTCCTCCTCCACCTGAAACGCTGAAGCCTGCAAGAGGTGAAAGCACATTTCACATAATTTTTGTTACATTGCAGCATTATAGCAGCTTCTAGTCCATCTTCCCTTCCCACACCTGCATCTACAAGCCAGGCAAGCAGCACCTAGAGCAAACTTAACAGGTGTTTTTTTTTTTCCTAAATCCGTGCAAAAACAGCTTGGACAATGTCTGTTGAATTATTAGGAGCTTGGATTGAATCTAGCTAGCCAGATACAGAGGGCGCACACCTCCTCCTTTAACTCTGCAACGCACACAGAAAGGAAAAAAAAAAAAGGCAGCCCCATACAGCAACTCTTAGCTCCTGCTCTTGCAAAAGGATGCTCAAATATTCAAAGCTTGGATCCAAAAAGGAATGGGCCGGCCTCTGATCCCATTAACGCGCCGCAAGAGCGAGGCTGGAAGCGTAGCAGGGAAGCAGTTTGCAGAGCACAGCACAGGCAGGGCTACAGCTCCCAAGATGTTTTTACCATCTGAAGTAAAAGATTAAAAGCAATGGCCTAAAAAAAAAGAAAATCAGGGTGGTGTTTGGTTGTTTTTTTGTTTGTTTTTTTTTTAAGGTTCTCACTTGAAGTCATGCCAAGCAATTCTGCTGATACTACTACAGTTTAAAGAAAACCGGTATCGCTGTCCTGGCTGTCACCACAGCATGTCCTAAAGCAAGAAAAATCAGACTCTTGAAGGGATGGAGGAAAGGAGCGAGTCTGAAAATCAATTTAATACATGCCGGGTCGGATGCTCCGTACATCCCACTGACTGCCAGGAACGTTACCGGCAGCAAAGCCAGGTCAGCACAACCAACCAAAGTACGAAGACAGGGAGAAATCTGCACTCTTAACGATGAAACCAAGCCAGAGCTACACAAAACGGCGCCATCGGCAGCTTGTTACACTCCCATTTGTCAACCTCATTAGCAATTGTGATGTAGGAGGCATTAATATATTTAATTTTTAATATGATCCGCTGGCATATAAAAGTATATTAAATAAGCTCCGATAACCCTGCGCACCTTCATCCACACCTGAAGGAACCTGCAAACTCCCACACTGGGGGAGGACTGGGAATGCCCAGGCCCCCCCAAAGCAGTCAGGAAGAGTTCGGCTCTCCCAGAAGTTTCACGGTGCCGAGATGGAAGTTCTGTGGAATATGGAGATGATTCATCTCCATATATTATCTCAGCCTTTCAGGATTTAAATTACAATATGGAAATAAATCATCTGAGAAGGGCAGGAGCTTCTGTAACGTTTAGACATTAATTACAGGGGACTGAACTCATCATCCTACATTTAATGCACTTTTAGTCCTCTTATTATAACCCTCAAAGCAGAAATCTCCAAGATAAGCATCGATAAAGATTTTCTTAAGTGTTTCTAACGGGGTACAGTGGAGATTGGCTCCAGACCCTGAAACACTCAACTTTTTTTTTTTTTTAATAAGCAACATAGAATAAAATCCCGTCTCACTGACATCCTTTATGGATGAACGGGAAGGCAACGAGCAGCATCAATACAGGGGGAACTGGTCAGCCGAGTACGGCACAGGCACCTCAAACGCAAAGCTACGGCACGGAGTTCAAAACCTGGCGCTGATAAACTAAGGAGCATCTGGGCATAGCGAGAAAAAACTCACGTGGAGGGGCACAAACCTGCTGAGTTTTAGCTGTGCTACCTACGCTGGAAGGCAGCTTCTAGTAACACATTGAAAATCTATAGGTGCAGCTAAAATTAAAAGTGCAGAGGGCGCAGTATGAATAATTACACAATCAACGGCAGCCGATTAGAGCATTAGCTGGATTCCCCACCCGATCGGTGTTTAAAACCGATGCGTTTCTCCCCAAAACCGCTGTTGATTCAAGGAGAATCAACTCAGAGAAAGGTTGTGGGTTTGCGTAAATGGGACACCGAGCTACGCGGACACCAGGGCGGCTTCTAACCCTACTAAAAATCATGAAAAAAAATTCTTCTTTTTAGGTGCAGTGTTCCTGGCTGCCTTCAAAGGGAGGAAAAGCTCAGTTTCAGCTCCAGTCGTTCCCACTGGGTTTACTGGCACAACTGGGGAGGGGGGGCTGTCGGAGACATCCCCGGCAGGATCCATAAGCCTGGGACCCCCCACGACAGCACTCACGAAGGCCAGGCGCTCCTCCGGCTCCCCTGGGGCACTCTCCACCCAGACACCCACAGGGGCCACGCTCGGATTCCTCTCAGCCAGCACCCGCCAGGTTTGCCGCGGGGGTCTCGCCTGACGGCCCCCCTGTTGCTCCTTGGCCCCCCGAGGCCGATCCTTCGAGGGTGGCAGCATCCCAGCACCGGGGGGGGAGGGGTTCAGCCCTGGGGAAGAGGCAGCAGAGGTGAGCG